GTTGTACCCAACACATGTGGCAACTGCATGCTTTGACAAACTGAGGTTGCACGGCTCCAGGATGAATCTTATTTCTTGGCCGTTAACTGGTGGTATACGGTTCACTATCATCTCCCAGGCACTTTCTACATTTCTTCAAGGTTTAGCTGCCACCAACTGTTGCTAATAGAATTTATGGCCTGAGCCGACTGTTGGTTTTTATAGCCCAAAAGTGGGTATCACATGACCCAATTGGTAGAAGTGACAGAGATATGCAAATGATAAGTTTGCATATCTATGTCATCTCTACAGGTCCTGCAATTTGTTCATGGTGTTGCGATTTCATTTTTGTGGAGTGTATTAGTACAGGCTATGCATAAACAATATAATTGAAATGTCAATTGCAAATTTAAAATTGCTAGATTTCTTTCTAAACTCATCTACAGGTATGCCCATAATATTTTAGTATTCTAGGGTAGAGAATAATAACATTCTGAAAAATTTCAAGTCAGTTTGGAAATATCTGATGGAAATTTAAACTTTGAAAAGATCCTAGGAACAAAATCAGTACTGTTCTTTTAAGATCTATTTAGATATTCTCTTTTGCTCTGTCTGCAAATGATGTAAAGTTTTGCTTTTACTTTATAGGTATAAAGTTTCATTTTATCTTTAAAATATCTGTTTTAGTTATTTTCAAAAGATGCAGCAGGTGTTATTCCAACAATAATAATGGATGTCATGCCTGTAGCATCTTAGTCTAGATTTAACTCAAGGTAGCAAATACAATGAATAACACAAGATCATTATTAATGAAAAAGTTTACACCAAACTATATACCAAAACAAAAATATTTATAAATCACTTTTTTTTTTCAAATCCTTTTTCTGTTTCTTATAATTTTTTTCTAATTTTATTTATTTAAATTTATTAAGTTTGCTCTTTTATATTGAGTTAATTCTTATCCATTGTTGACGATTTACATAAATTTTAAACCTCCTTTAAAAATATCAGATCCTTTTTAAAACAAGATCAAGATCAAATGCATTTTTATAAGTGTTGTGATCTTTTTAGGAATGAAAGACATTTTTTAATAATGTAATTAAAATGTGCTCAAACTTGGTTAATTCACTTGCCATCATATCAAAGGATTCGGTTTGATCTTTCATTAAGGAATAAACACTATCAGTTTGAGTCTTAACATTTTTAGTAGACATAAATTTATTTTATGTAATAAATGGCCGAGTTATTTTTATTAACAATTAATTGGCATTATTTTCTGAACGTTTGTAATTTACTTATTTTAAATTTTTTGAATATTATGAATTTTTTTTTTTTTATGTAAACAGATTAGTACTTAGGATGTGATTGATCATTTCATTAAAATTGTGTGGCAGATTAATTAAATTATATGAATTTCATGATTATTATTTTAAAGCACATCATTAATTTGAGATATAAATGTTTTTAAGAACAATATATATAAAAAAAACATTTTTATACGTAAAATTTTTTTATTTTATATCATTTTCCATTCAGTTTACCCAGTATATTTTTTTTGATTAAATTATTTAGTATTATATATTAATATCTATATTGAGAAATCGTCTTAGATGTTTCAAATTCTTGTACAGTAAAGAAGTTGGCAAATAGAAAGCAATATAGAGACTGCGGTAGAAACAAAGAGAAATTTAACTTGTTCTTATAATTATAATAATTTTTAATTTAGAAATGTCTGTCTTTGTTAAATATTAATGTATATGGAAAATAATCAACTTAAGTATTCTGAATATTTTAACAAGTTTATTAATTTTGATTGTTACCTTAAATTTAACAATTTCCAATAGACTTAAAAAATGTATATATTTTAGGATTGTGGTAATGTTCCGGTCTTTCAGTCTCCCAATGCTTGGAAAGCAAAAGAAGAAATGATGCTTTTGGATGCCGTCGAACATTACGGATTTGGAAATTGGTAATTATTCCTCGTTACGATATTAAAATTTCTATTATAGACAGAGTAAATTATTTATTTATTTATTGACAAAAAGTGTACTATTTTGCATTTAGATCATTAGAATCACTCTCGTAAGTTAGATTCAGTGTCCATTAGGTGTTCCGTATTTTCATCTTAGCCGGAGGATTTCCATAAGACATATCCAACGTTGGCATTCATTTGAAAGACTTCCTTATTCGCCTTTAAAATACTTGAAGTTAGAAATAAATATCGATCAGTAGATAGCAAGAGCCTAGCAATTTTTCTTTGTACATCAAAGTTTGCATCTTTCACTTTGCAAGCTTAAGAATTCATGTCTATTCCTTTTGCAAGTAGTTTCGACAGCTCGTCTTGGATATTTTGATGGCGGGTTAAAGTTAGCTTTTACAGAGAGGAAAAGTTTTTGTTTGCCATTTACCTGATGGAAACGAACGAAATTCTTTAAGTGTCGATGCTAGTCTTTTTCCTGTTATATGCAAATATGGTAAAAATCCATTCGCCTTCAGAATATATCAGTCTGGATAGAAAGACGAAACAGCTCTTAAAATATATATCTAAGTGGGATCAAAATATTTTAAATAATAAAAAAAATAATAATTATTTTTTAATAGAAGTTCCGTAAAATATAAAACCTTAAACATTTATTTTATATAATGTTAAGTTTAAAGAAACATTGTAAAAGGATTTATATGTATTAAAATTTACTAATAAAAATGTAAAATATTTTAAAAACGAGATTGTTTATATATATTTTTAAAGAATTACTTGTAAAGTCACCTCTGTTTTTAATATTTTAAATGTACTTAGTCATGTATAAAACAGATACCAGATACATAGGCACTTTGTGACACTTTATTGGATCTTACTGTACAACATGGACTTGGGATGCAATTCGGGATTTTTATTCCCTCCCCAGCCAACCATACATACTATCCCTGTATCAAATTACAAATTTATATTTAAATACCAATAAATCTAACATTTCTCTTTACAATTCCGGATTAGTTACATAACTCAAGTTATATATGTATCACAAGTCCATGTTGTGTGATAAGAATCCAATGGTGATGTCTGTTTTATAAATNCTGAATTTTTTAATATATAAAAAGTTTATTTTTTAATAATTTAGAGTAAAGTTTTTAACGTTTCGTTCCAAATTTATAAATTGATCAAAAATATTAGCAAATTTTGAAATATTGAATGCACTAGTGAGAGTTAGCAAGGATAAAAATGCTGTTAAAACCGAAAATAATGTGGTGTGGGATAATATATCTTAGTAAATAAGCCACGTAGGAATATATTAAAATTTAATTATAGTAGAAACGTTATATAAATTTTATCACCATTGACAAATTTACTATTTGTTTTCTAAGTCGTGTTTTAGGTTATTTTATTTTAAATTTTTTAATCAACACGTTGCAAATTCATTCTTATCAACTAACACGTTTCGGTTTTATTTGGCATTTGGGAATGTGCGTTATTTTAAAGTTTTAAGAAGCGAAAAAAAATGATTTTTTATATAGAGAAAAAAAGGAGAAAAATGCAGTGAAGATGAAGAAAATTTAATCAAAACCCAATCGAATGCTTTTCTTCAGAAAAAAAGGAAAAAAAAAAGCTCTTTCTGTTCATCTGATACCTTTAAAAACTCATTCGATAACAGGATACTGGGCTATAAGATGATGCTGACTGGCAAAAATGTATTGTAATCCGTTTATTTCACCTTAAATAAATTAATTTACTCTTACTCTATCATTCTAATATACAATAAAATATAATTTAAACATTAAACATCGAAAGTTTTCTTAATAAATATTAATGCTCATCAACATACTTCTTGATCTATAGAGTAAAATGACGTAGAGATCAATAATTTTGCATTACAAATCCCTATTCTATTCGATTTAATTAATAACTGAAGTGGAATGGTTTAAATGAGTTAAAATTTTATTTATGACTATTGTATCCTGAAATTCGTAACGTCATTTTGAAAGGAAAGGGAAGGAAATTATGAAGAATTTCATAAATATGGATTAAAATTATCTCTTTAATCTAGTCATTATCGTTTTGACTGACTGTTGTTTTAATTAATACAACAATTGTTATCGTAAGTAATTTATTATTCGATTATAGACGAGTTTAAAAGAGATTAAAAGTTATGTAGATGGTCTGATGTCGCGTATTTTATTCTGATATAGTGATTACTTCTCATCATTTAATGTAATTAAGACTAAATATCGAGTGTTAAACTATAAATTTAACAATTGATACTGAATTTCGATGTATCGAATTGCTTCATTTTACAGTAATTATTTTTAATAAGAATAAATATTGTATATCTATATACAGAAATCATCGTTATCTTGAAGAGTAATAACGTTTCCATTTATGCATTTTTCTTGTTAATTATTGCTTAAATTTTCGAATTTTTAAGACGTAAAAAATTAGAAAAGAATATTAAATGATAAATATTAACTTTTATTATAATTAATTTTTTAAGTTACACAATAATATAGTTTTCTTCTGGGAAGTAATAAGTAGAAATAAGAAGAAAATAATTCTCTTTTATTGTTAGATATAATGTAATAAAAACCTGTTGTTTGATGAACTTTCGACTTAGATAACAACTTTCTTTACTTCTCTAATAAACCCTAACAAGTACAGAATTTCAAGACACTCGATACGTTTGTAAAAGTGTAGAAGAAATTAATCTTGTAGAGAAAAGAATTTATCAATTAATAGAAAATCATTAGTGCTATTTTTATATAAATTGTATTACTTTATCATTCTTCATTTATAAATATAATAAATACAGTTAATTGCAGTTAAAATGTACATGCAGTTTTTCTGTTATTGTCTGTTAAATTTTCTGTTTTCTTAGTTTATAAATACAAATTTGTATTTGTTAGAATTATAAATCAATTAATTAAATTGTATATTTTTATAAAGAAAAAAATATAGAAAATATAATATTTAAATAATGTTAATTTACGCTGTTAAAAAAAGGGATAAAATGTTATTATTTTTGTTTTAGTTTTGGCTGTCGAGATAAGAAGATTTTCGGTGCCAAGGTACGTGGAAAACGGAACGGAGGATTCTGTGATTTTAGATTGTGAATACGTCTACAATGAGAACGACATCAGACTTGTGGTAAAATGGTTCTTCAATGAAAACTTGGAGCCCGTATATCAATGGATACCAGAACTGAAAATACGGCATACATCTGGGATACTTCAGGATCGTTTAGATCTGAATTTCAGCGTGAACACAGTCGACGCTTATTCTCGTTATAGGGCCCTGAAGGTCTTGGATCCAACAACGGAGCTGAGTGGCAAATACACTTGTCTCGTGACATCACTAGCGGGGCAAGACTCCCGGGAACAGAACATGACAGTTTACGGTGAGTCCCATGACACCATGCAAGTATTTGATAGAAGCAACCGATTAGAGGTGAAAGGATGATGCTTGCAGTTTACATAGCGAATTTTCAGACGTGAAAGACTAACAACGGTTCGTATCAAACAAAGAATTGAATTTCCACGAGTTTTCTCATCTCGTGTTGAGAGAAACGAAACTGGATTCTGCTTAGTTTGGCCTGGAACTTCTATTCTTAGATTTCTTTTCAGTTAAAGTACATTTCAAACGTGAACTAGAATCGTCTTTCTGTGTACTTTTCGCATCTCTTATTCGCATTTTCAACTGTTTCGAAAAAAAATCAACAGCGCGTTATACAAATAACCACATTGCAATATCCGTTTGTGTTCGATTCATATATCAATTCTAATATTTTTTTTTACATTTGTCTTTTCATCCAGAAAGGCACCTCACTCTTTATAATTATCTTTTAGTTTATTGACTAAATCTATATCATGAAATATATTAACAAAAAGCATTTATATACGTAACCATACATATATATGTGTGTGTGTGTGTACATTTTGCCAGATAAACACGTATGTATAACGATAAGATCATTAAAGTTTGNAAAATAATTTATTGAATTTTTCGCACTTTATTAATTTACTTGCGAAAAAAAGTTATTAAATTAAATGTTTAATGTTTTATCATCATTCCTTCATATCATCTCTTCTTATCCAAAAGATACAATTTAAGTAAAGAATTACTTTCCCATTAAATTAAATTTATGTTAACATATAACTTAATTTATCATATAAATATTGAAGATGAAAATGATTTTCTCATCTCCACCGAATTCTTCAACTTTAAATGTCTTTTTAAATGCCAAATTGAAGTGATTAGTTGAAGAGGTTGTAAGTAAATGTTGACAGGGTATAAAGAAAAATAAATTAAAGACAAGTACAGAGGAAAATCTTTAAAGATTAATAAAAAAAATAATTCATATTTTAAAAAAGGACGACAATTTCAACAGGAAAATATCATCAAGTTGCTCTTTAGGCAAAATAAAAAAAATTGTATTAAAAAAATGGTGTAAAAAGCTATTGAATGCTGTATACAATGAGACTACACTAATGGTGAGTTCCTGTGTTTGAAGTTTTCTACTCGGAAAGGAACAATCGTTTGACAAGGAGGAGGCGAAGAAGCTTTGAACTTAATAGGAAAGTGGTTTTCTTCGTCCTGAGTGGAAGAACCGCGCCCCAGAAACTTGTCACTTTGCAGAACTGTGGTCTGTACAGTAAAGAAGAGTAGATGGGTATTGATTATTCCGTGAAACAACGGCAGTTGTTCAGTCGTCTTTCCTCCACTCGCTTGATTTATTACAGTCGGCAAACGTTCCAACAGACGGCCTCCGCCCCAGTTTTTTTAACTGTTTCTTCTATCTCTGTGTGAGAAGATTAGTAAGTAAAAGCCGACAAAATCAGCGCACCTACGGGGAAACAAATCGTTGTATCGCTTCCTAGGATACCGAATTTCTTTCACCATGGTCATCAGATAATATCCATGTCCCTCATTTTATCAATGATACCGTAGGAAATGTTTAAATTTGCATAATGTGCCACCACGTGATAAATAGAACTTCGTTTTTTTCTTCATTCTTTCACGATTCGCAGCACTTTTTCCCTAGAATTTATAAATTTTAAACTTGTACGTGCTAAAGTATCGATTTCTGATTGACAATTCTATAATTTTGTGTTATTTTTATTTAATTTTAACTTTGCTACATGTTAACTTCAATGAGTTTTTAACTTGAAGACAAGAGAAAACATTTTCTATAATACTGAAAAGTAAAAATTTGCAAAAATAGCAATTAATTAAACGCATGTAATGATAAATTGAAGGGAAAGATACGAGATTTTTCTATTGAACATCGATATTAAACCACAGAACTATTCTTCCCATAAATCTATAAGTAATAATGTAAGACATAAAAAAAATTGATGACAATATCCAAAAAGACAATGTCAGGAATTCCCATAGAAGATTGCTATTTCTTCCTTACATTTCTATTACAACATAAAATTACAGGATGACGACACAGAGCTATGCTTTCTCTTCCTCGTTTCAATTGTCTTTGGATTATAAGTTTTACTTTTTTTTTGCTACCCCCACGCAATGATAAGATTCCTATCCTTTATTGTCTTGAATTCGTCGTCGAAGATAATAAACTGCTCCATTTTATCGTTGTCATTACTCAGTTCCACCTTCATCGTTGAGATCTATAACGTTTCCAATTAGTTTACTTTGTAAATTATAAATTCAAATTTCCTTAAATTATTTGGTAATAATTCAATAATATCTGAACGAGAAGGTTTATTATAGAAGTTAGTTTATTATTAAAGGAATAACAGAAATAAATGTTGATATTATCATTAATTAATTAGTTTGTTTGACTCTTTTAGAAACTTAGTACATAAAAGTTTGAATTTTCAGAAATTTTAGAAGAGATTATTTATATTTTTCAACTAAAGTAATGATGCTTTTCCACGCCTTAATTTGTGTAAAAATATTTTTCATTCTCTTTTATGTATGACTTACAAATATTCGCAAGTTCTAAACAGTGCTTAAGGGATTTAAAAGTTATAAAATTGTGGTAAATGAATCATGAACTTCCGAATATTTTTTCACGTAAAACTTTAGTATATTATAATATATTATATACATATACAAATATTTTTTTCCTATCAAAATTACACATCTCAAATGAATATTACAAAAACTTTTGCAATATTTACTTTAATAAAATATCTCGAGTTATTATTATTATTATTATTTGAAACATTAAATAATATTTTTTTTAAGATGAAAACTTTCTTAAAATNTTTCGCAATAAAGACTAAGTAGGTATAGCCTATGTACATGTAGTTCAAGGTTTTTAGAAGAAAAACATATAAAGTGTCTTGCGAATAGTATGTAACAACATATTTTTTTAAAAATATAATTAATTATAAGTTATTTATTGTATATAATCTAGTTTAAAATAGAAAAATGTTTTAAATGTCAATTATATCGATAGAAAATAATTAACATTTTTATTTTTATACTGCAGTCAACTTTTATACTCTGATAAACGGGCACTGACGGGAACATAAAAAATGGCCGTTGTTTAGAGGTGGCCGTTATTGGAGGTTCGACTGTATTTATTTTTAATTTAATTACTTCAGATATCGATATCGATATAGACGATTTGTCTATATTTACTTTTTACTTTTTACTAACTCTGGTGCAGTTTAACTTTATTTAATTAATAGGACCTTGAGCAAAAAATATCGATGAATGAAATTAACGTTTTCTACTTTTTACCTTTCTTTAATCGACTGAATGTAAAATCGATTATCGTAGCCAATATGCCAACAGTCGGTATTTCAAAATTCTTTCCAGAAATAAAATATGTTAAAGATTTCGCACGTGTTGGCTTGATTAAAATATTACAAAGGTGTAAATCTCGGTGTTCGAATTCTAATTCTGTTTCTGCAACAGCCAAACTAAATGCCACTTGACGAAAAATACTGACGGCTTGACAAGGCCTTATTTGCTATTTAATAATAATAATAATAATAATAAAATCTTGCATTTCATAAATAATATAAAGAAAAATATAAATTAATAAGTATTTTCTTTACATCATTGTCAATTTTAATTAAATTATATTTTATAAAATACAGATTTATCATTATTATATTTTAATATTTTATTTATTTTTATATTTTTATAAATATGTTTATTAAATGATGCAATTTAAAGCTTGTTATTAAACTAGTAAGATGACATTAAACTGAATATTCTGAATTTATCAGTGAGGAAATGAAGCACTTCAAATAATTACTTCTGTCCTTTTGAAAAATTATAATTTGATGACATAAAATTGGATTTTTTTTTTAAACTAAAATTAAATATTCAAGACTTGTTTATTTTTATTTTAAAATGCTATAAGAGATATTTTCCTTTACTTTGTATATATACATTTATCTGCAAGACACATCATATATATATATATAAAATTATGAACATATGAAGATGTAAAGAAGTTTTTCATCTGTATACATATATATACATTATTTATATTTATTTCTTATATATATATACATTAACAAATTATACAGATGAAAATTTTATTCACATCTTCCAAAATTAGAATTTCAAATGAAATAACTCTTTTTATCTTTCACATTACCCGAAATGGTGGAGAGGATAACAAAGCTTGCTTTTTCGTTTATTATTTATGAAAAATTCACAGAAATTTAATACAAAGAAAGGAATATATATATATATGTAAAATGATATAAATTATGAAGAAATTAAACTACAGAAAATCGAGAAAGTTTAAAAATTAATACTACAGAATTTTTAAAATGTTTACTTTTATTAATTATATAATGTAATTATTTTTTAAAAAAATAAATGATTAATTAATTTTTTAAGTTACACAATAATATAGTTTTCTTCTGGGAAGTAATAAGTAGAAATAAGAAGAAAATAATTCTCTTTTATTGTTAGATATAATGTAATAAAAACCTGTTGTTTGATGAACTTTCGACTTAGATAACAACTTTCTTTACTTCTCTAATAAACCCTAACAAGTACAGAATTTCAAGACACTCGATACGTTTGTAAAAGTGTAGAAGAAATTAATCTTGTAGAGAAAAGAATTTATCAATTAATAGAAAATCATTAGTGCTATTTTTATATAAATTGTATTACTTTATCATTCTTCATTTATAAATATAATAAATACAGTTAATTGCAGTTAAAATGTACATGCAGTTTTTCTGTTATTGTCTGTTAAATTTTCTGTTTTCTTAGTTTATAAATACAAATTTGTATTTGTTAGAATTATAAATCAATTAATTAAATTGTATATTTTTATAAAGAAAAAAATATAGAAAATATAATATTTAAATAATGTTAATTTACGCTGTTAAAAAAAGGGATAAAATGTTATTATTTTTGTTTTAGTTTTGGCTGTCGAGATAAGAAGATTTTCGGTGCCAAGGTACGTGGAAAACGGAACGGAGGATTCTGTGATTTTAGATTGTGAATACGTCTACAATGAGAACGACATCAGACTTGTGGTAAAATGGTTCTTCAATGAAAACTTGGAGCCCGTATATCAATGGATACCAGAACTGAAAATACGGCATACATCTGGGATACTTCAGGATCGTTTAGATCTGAATTTCAGCGTGAACACAGTCGACGCTTATTCTCGTTATAGGGCCCTGAAGGTCTTGGATCCAACAACGGAGCTGAGTGGCAAATACACTTGTCTCGTGACATCACTAGCGGGGCAAGACTCCCGGGAACAGAACATGACAGTTTACGGTGAGTCCCATGACACCATGCAAGTATTTGATAGAAGCAACCGATTAGAGGTGAAAGGATGATGCTTGCAGTTTACATAGCGAATTTTCAGACGTGAAAGACTAACAACGGTTCGTATCAAACAAAGAATTGAATTTCCACGAGTTTTCTCATCTCGTGTTGAGAGAAACGAAACTGGATTCTGCTTAGTTTGGCCTGGAACTTCTATTCTTAGATTTCTTTTCAGTTAAAGTACATTTCAAACGTGAACTAGAATCGTCTTTCTGTGTACTTTTCGCATCTCTTATTCGCATTTTCAACTGTTTCGAAAAAAAATCAACAGCGCGTTATACAAATAACCACATTGCAATATCCGTTTGTGTTCGATTCATATATCAATTCTAATATTTTTTTTTACATTTGTCTTTTCATCCAGAAAGGCACCTCACTCTTTATAATTATCTTTTAGTTTATTGACTAAATCTATATCATGAAATATATTAACAAAAAGCATTTATATACGTAACCATACATATATATGTGTGTGTGTGTGTACATTTTGCCAGATAAACACGTATGTATAACGATAAGATCATTAAAGTTTGCTCTCCATATTAAAAAAACAGGAAGGAAAAAAATATAAAAATATTGAATTTAAGTATTTCCAGACAGGTAGATTTTCTTGGTAATATTTAAGCCAAATTTAATAACTTGCTCCTCTTTAATGATCTTAAAGTTTTAAAGTATTTTTAAACTATTTTTTATATTATTATGATAAATGACTTGTTATATCTTTTTATTATTTTTATTATGATTAAAGTAGCAATTAATAATAAAAATTTTCTTAATTAAAATAAACAAAACTTTTTTTGGTTGTTGTTTTGTTTTGAAATTACTTATACAGTAAAACGAGAAAACATTATAAATTAATTAAAACTATTTTTATTTAAAAAATTATTGTATATAAAAAATTAATAAATATTTATTTTAGTTCCAGCTAAACATATGGAATTAACATATAGCAGAACTGTAAAAAGTATTAATGTAAGTTGTCAAGCTTCAGGGATGTTTCCGAAGCCCAAGTTGCTTTTGTATAAGATGCCTCCATATTTAAGTAGTCCTGCTGTGGTTCAAGACGTCAGGACGGCAGTCAGCATGGACAATGTCACATATGATGTGCAACTTCATCGAAGTTTCGGTTATACAGAATTATCGATAGACGATGCAACTACATTCGAATGTGTGGTCGAGATACCAGGAACGAATTACAACAAAAGAAAATCTATTGTATATTACACCAGTAAGTAATTAAGATATAATGATACTTATAAGTTTATTTGAGCGTAACTTATTCGTAAATTTGATTAAAAAACTGATGAATTTAATATATATATATCATACTATAAAATGTAATTAGTTTCAACTGAAATATCTTCTTTATATATTGAAGCAGTTTCTTGTGTAAGTTGATGGTTAGAACACAAAAATCAATAAGATAATCTTGATAAAAGCGAATCCTAAATTAAAATTAAAATTAAACAAGGATGGTTGTTTTCTCCTTATGATCGTGTTTTATTGCAGGGAAGATTGCTTTACAGGAGAATAAAGAAAATTAACTATTATCTATATCTCGTCTATAAAATAATTTAAGCATTTAAATTTTTATTACTGTTTCAGTATTAATTAAACATTAAAAATGTTTTTATTTAATAATATTAAATAATTTAATGGAAATTTTCAAGAATTATGCAATTATTTTCTCTGTAACGTTTACGTTCAAAATAATTAATTTTATTGTTTTCAAAATGTAAAAAGAAAAAAAAAAAAACAAACAGAAAGAAGGAGGGTTATTAAAATTAGGAGAAAGAAAATAGAAATAAATTTAAAAATCTTTTATATAAATAACTTTCATTATTGTTTTTTAAATAAAAAAAAGTATTAAAATCCTTAAGAAGTATTTCGATTTATATTATTTTCTAAAAAAATAACCAAAGAAACTGTAAATTTAAGTGTCTATCCAAGTTTAAAGCAAAATAAAATTAATAATAATTTACATATCGAAAGAATAATATTTTTTCAGAACTCAGTTAAGATTAGACAAAGTAATAAATCAAACTTCAGTCATTCTTTCATATATATATATAAAGGATATTGACATTCATATCTTTAAGAATAATGTTTTGGAAACGAACATGTCATTACAGTTATTAATTATGAAGATATTAAATAAGGNTTAAAATATTGAATATTTTAAAAATAAATTTATGTAATTTTTTTAAATTAAAAAATGTGTAGTACTTTAGGAAAAAAAACAACTCATAAAACATTTATATAGAATCACTTTTTAGATAAATAAATGGCAGAAAATAAACATAAATATTTTTTTAAATAAAATAAAAAATTTTTGTTATTTTTTTATTGAAGAAATAATGAGAAATTGCATAAATTTCATTATAAAATTGTAACAGATTTGACTTAATATTAAGGAAAAGTATTGTACAGTACAAGACAATATCATATAAACTTAAATTGGAGCGCAACAAGTTTATCAAACCAAGAACAAATAAGCTAATATTTTATATTCTTGGTAAAGAACTTTTTACGGCGAATAAAAGAAAACAAAGAGAAGGAAAAGAGTAAAGGAAAATCAAATAGTGAACTGACGACAAATTGCCATAGCGGACATCTGCATAATGTCGTTTTGCTTGGATTTACTGCATGAAAGATGTACGCCGTTAACAAGGCAATGTATAACAGCCGGAAAAACAGGCAATTCCTTTCAAAAATTGATTACCAAATCACAAAAAGTATACAGAAAGAATGAAATTTTGTGTCCGGGTGGTGACGAGACGAATAAGAAAAATAATAATTCTTTCAACCTACCAAGTACGTTTCCTCCCTACTCTTTTTTTTATAATTCTTCTCTTATTTTTTCCCCGTAATGTTTCTAATCGATAAGTTTAAAATGGAAGATAATTTTTGAGTAGAATAATGAATGTAAATTCCTCTCGGATATATATTTTTGTTATTTTTTTATTATTTTTATTTTTTTTGTCGGTTGAAATGACTTTCTTGCTTTTTTACGAGTGCACGGTATGACGCCAGTTACCTTCATTTTAGATTTATAGAAGTTGATAGGACATTTTTCAAGTATTATCTTCCATTTTAAAATTAGCGTGCTTTCTAGGTTGGAAATTTATGTTTTTTCATATTTGTAAGTTTCAAATTTATTATTTTATTCTGTCTTTGTATTTTTTTATTTTAATATCGAAATGATTTTAGTTTGAAACCGAGCAGAACTTTTAATATTCATCTTTTCGTTTCTTTATCAATTTATGCAGGAACTATAAGAACAATTGATTATTTTTTAAAATAAATTTTACAAAATATCAGATTTTATAAAAATTTTTCTAAAAATTTTTTTTATATTAACTCCAACTTTACAACCGTTCGAAAGTAGTAGATATACAAATGCTACATTTATTATTTGTTACTTTGCAAAATTGAAATTGAAAACGAGCAAAAATTTTTAATTATATTTTTAAAATGTATTTAATTTAAAATATATGCTCTCGATCTCAAATTAGTAATGTCTTGCCCCTGTACATCACACTTTTCCTGATAACAATAGAGTCTTGTCTGTCATCTATATGCAACTTCGTTTAAAAGGAGATTTTTAAATTAAAATCATTTGACTTCGGGTTTAGACTGGAATATAATTAATTAGTTTTTCCTATCCCTAAACTTTCCATATCTGATCTTGACTTTTATCTATCTAAGTTCTTTTTCGAAAGTAGGAATTTATAGAACTACAATTTTTTCAAATTGCAACCCAATAAGTAAATTTTTCGAATTAATAAACGTTACAAAAATATGTTTACGTATATATAATTAATTAAAATAGATAATATTGCTAACTTTTATTTAATTTTTAACGTATTTAACTGTCATTCTGAATAAATCTGATAAAGGAAGAAAAATTTATTTTACACAATACATAGGCCTATACAAAATTATTTTATTTAAGAATTTTAAGAGAGACGAAACTGCGTAATATAATATATATATATATATATATACGTGATATCTTAGTGGAATTACTATCTCGTGACTAGATACTGCTCAATTGGGCGTCACGTTACATTCGTGAAACCTGTCACAGGGTGAGTGATACCCTTATTGGATTTCGTTTTTATCCAATTCTAAAGATATACAACCTTCACTTAGGAATGAATTGACATTGTCTTGGTGTTTTTTTTTCTCTTTATCCTTACCAGAATTCCACATAATGCACGAATGGTATGTAACGAAGACACATGGCATCTGTTTGGTGGCACTTTATTGAAATTTCATCACGTAATTCTGTGATTTTTTTTAAAGAAAAATCTTTATACTTCATCCTCTTTCTAGTATGGTGAATTGCGTGCCTGTTTGTCATAGTCTAAAGGCTGTTAAGGTTTTTAATTTATTGTATTTTTCCATTCTGTAAGGCCCCCCCACCCCAGAAGAATGTGGTTCTGCTTAATTTTCTTAGAATTGTTTGAAGTATTTAAAGAGTTTCAGTTTAGGTGTGTATAATTAGGCTTTTAGAATTCATAGGCATGATCGGTACTAAGTATGAAGAATTTGCAGCCATGTTTTCTTGTCTTATATATATGTAAATGCCTAAGTATCTTACGTTGCTTGCGAAGAACTTAAGGCATGATCGGTACATATATAAAATACACAGGTATGTAGCCGTGTGAGGCATGATTTCCATTATCATTCTCCAGGCCTACAGCTTGTATAATCATATACTCAGGTTATATCTAGCTTAGGGCCTAAAATTTTTACGTGTATTATTATTTGATGTAAGAGAAGGGCCTGTTATATGTTAAAGCTTAAGTTTAATTCCAGATGTATTAGTTCATAGGCCTTTTATTTAGGCCAAATAGTTATAGGCCTGTGAGACGTTAGAACACCCCAGAGATGAGGCATAGATTTAAACCTCTTAAATTAATTTTTTATGAGTTTATAAGTGTTAATATAAATATTTTAATGTCTTGGCTTTGTAAAATAGGGATAAAATAGGGTTTAAAATGTAAGGAAAGCTTAAAACACACAACGGTAGCGTGAATTGGTTCAGTCTTTCATCACTTCTTTAGGTTATGTTATTAATCCAACCTGTCTTTAGACCCTGTAGTTAAGTCGGCACTTCTTCCTAACAACATTCATTAAAACTGTCATCAAAAACCTCAAATGTATAAGACCCCTCCATTAAATTTTGACAGATTTACGACTTTAAAACGCCTTTATATGTACAAATTCAAGCTAACTACTTTAACTGAATTAAACAATAGAATTTCTCTTGACCCCTTTTATTTTATGATTCAATTTTATCCTCTTCAGATTAAACACGAGATGATAATTGTATGAAATTTCTACAAATTAAACAGAATATTAATATTCGTCCGTAGGAAAATGATAAATTTACGTGTTTAGCCTTATTTTCATAGCTTTGACCTTTATAAAATCCGCCATTTTTACAGCTTTGTTCTTTACGAAATTCTCCAGTTTTAGAGCCTTCAATTATTATAAAATCCTCCATTTTTTGCAGCTTAGGATATTACCTTTAACCTTATAAAATTCCCAAATTTCACAGCATTATAGCCTATGAAATTCTTCACTTTCAGCGTGTTAAGATCATAAACATCACGCATATAAACGAAACAATTTAAACGAATTTTTAAAATATTCTACTATTGTATACTTCAATAGACATTATAAGGCTTATAAATAGCATAACGAAGTAGGAGGCCTAAAAAAAAATGCTAATTTGTAGCATTCTTAGGCCTCATAAATTANTTAAAAATGATTTATTTACCATATTGAATGAACAAAAATATGACGAAGGTTTTGTATTAAAAATACAATAATTTTAAAATTTATGTTCCATTTAAGAAGGATTTTTCACGAAGGTTGTTCTAAAATCATTTTTATTTTGTTTTTCTATAGCTGTAAGGAATATTTGCTCTTCTAGAATTACTTTCGCAATAAAGACTAAGTAGGTATAGCCTATGTACATGTAGTTCAAGGTTTTTAGAAGAAAAACATATAAAGTGTCTTGCGAATAGTATGTAACAACATATTTTTTTAAAAATATAATTAATTATAAGTTATTTATTGTATATAATCTAGTTTAAAATAGAAAAATGTTTTAAATGTCAATTATATCGATAGAAAATAATTAACATTTTTATTTTTATACTGCAGTCAACTTTTATACTCTGATAAACGGGCACTGACGGGAACATAAAAAATGGCCGTTGTTTAGAGGTGGCCGTTATTGGAGGTTCGACTGTATTTATTTTTAATTTAATTACTTCAGATATCGATATCGATATAGACGATTTGTCTATATTTACTTTTTACTTTTTACTAACTCTGGTGCAGTTTAACTTTATTTAATTAATAGGACCTTGAGCAAAAAATATCGATGAATGAAATTAACGTTTTCTACTTTTTACCTTTCTTTAATCGACTGAATGTAAAATCGATTATCGTAGCCAATATGCCAACAGTCGGTATTTCAAAATTCTTTCCAGAAATAAAATATGTTAAAGATTTCGCACGTGTTGGCTTGATTAAAATATTACAAAGGTGTAAATCTCGGTGTTCGAATTCTAATTCTGTTTCTGCAACAGCCAAACTAAATGCCACTTGACGAAAAATACTGACGGCTTGACAAGGCCTTATTTGCTATTTAATAATAATAATAATAATAATAAAATCTTGCATTTCATAAATAATATAAAGAAAAATATAAATTAATAAGTATTTTCTTTACATCATTGTCAATTTTAATTAAATTATATTTTATAAAATACAGATTTATCATTATTATATTTTAATATTTTATTTATTTTTATATTTTTATAAATATGTTTATTAAATGATGCAATTTAAAGCTTGTTATTAAACTAGTAAGATGACATTAAACTGAATATTCTGAATTTATCAGTGAGGAAATGAAGCACTTCAAATAATTACTTCTGTCCTTTTGAAAAATTATAATTTGATGACATAAAATTGGATTTTTTTTTTAAACTAAAATTAAATATTCAAGACTTGTTTATTTTTATTTTAAAATGCTATAAGAGATATTTTCCTTTACTTTGTATATATACATTTATCTGCAAGACACATCATATATATATATATAAAATTATGAACATATGAAGATGTAAAGAAGTTTTTCATCTGTATACATATATATACATTATTTATATTTATTTCTTATATATATATACATTAACAAATTATACAGATGAAAATTTTATTCACATCTTCCAAAATTAGAATTTCAAATGAAATAACTCTTTTTATCTTTCACATTACCCGAAATGGTGGAGAGGATAACAAAGCTTGCTTTTTCGTTTATTATTTATGAAAAATTCACAGAAATTTAATACAAAGAAAGGAATATATATATATATGTAAAATGATATAAATTATGAAGAAATTAAACTACAGAAAATCGAGAAAGTTTAAAAATTAATACTACAGAATTTTTAAAATGTTTACTTTTATTAATTATATAATGTAATTATTTTTTAAAAAAATAAATGATTAATTAATTTTTTAAGTTACACAATAATATAGTTTTCTTCTGGGAAGTAATAAGTAGAAATAAGAAGAAAATAATTCTCTTTTATTGTTAGATATAATGTAATAAAAACCTGTTGTTTGATGAACTTTCGACTTAGATAACAACTTTCTTTACTTCTCTAATAAACCCTAACAAGTACAGAATTTCAAGACACTCGATACGTTTGTAAAAGTGTAGAAGAAATTAATCTTGTAGAGAAAAGAATTTATCAATTAATAGAAAATCATTAGTGCTATTTTTATATAAATTGTATTACTTTATCATTCTTCATTTATAAATATAATAAATACAGTTAATTGCAGTTAAAATGTACATGCAGTTTTTCTGTTATTGTCTGTTAAATTTTCTGTTTTCTTAGTTTATAAATACAAATTTGTATTTGTTAGAATTATAAATCAATTAATTAAATTGTATATTTTTATAAAGAAAAAAATATAGAAAATATAATATTTAAATAATGTTAATTTACGCTGTTAAAAAAAGGGATAAAATGTTATTATTTTTGTTTTAGTTTTGGCTGTCGAGATAAGAAGATTTTCGGTGCCAAGGTACGTGGAAAACGGAACGGAGGATTCTGTGATTTTAGATTGTGAATACGTCTACAATGAGAACGACATCAGACTTGTGGTAAAATGGTTCTTCAATGAAAACTTGGAGCCCGTATATCAATGGATACCAGAACTGAAAATACGGCATACATCTGGGATACTTCAGGATCGTTTAGATCTGAATTTCAGCGTGAACACAGTCGACGCTTATTCTCGTTATAGGGCCCTGAAGGTCTTGGATCCAACAACGGAGCTGAGTGGCAAATACACTTGTCTCGTGACATCACTAGCGGGGCAAGACTCCCGGGAACAGAACATGACAGTTTACGGTGAGTCCCATGACACCATGCAAGTATTTGATAGAAGCAACCGATTAGAGGTGAAAGGATGATGCTTGCAGTTTACATAGCGAATTTTCAGACGTGAAAGACTAACAACGGTTCGTATCAAACAAAGAATTGAATTTCCACGAGTTTTCTCATCTCGTGTTGAGAGAAACGAAACTGGATTCTGCTTAGTTTGGCCTGGAACTTCTATTCTTAGATTTCTTTTCAGTTAAAGTACATTTCAAACGTGAACTAGAATCGTCTTTCTGTGTACTTTTCGCATCTCTTATTCGCATTTTCAACTGTTTCGAAAAAAAATCAACAGCGCGTTATACAAATAACCACATTGCAATATCCGTTTGTGTTCGATTCATATATCAATTCTAATATTTTTTTTTACATTTGTCTTTTCATCCAGAAAGGCACCTCACTCTTTATAATTATCTTTTAGTTTATTGACTAAATCTATATCATGAAATATATTAACAAAAAGCATTTATATACGTAACCATACATATATATGTGTGTGTGTGTGTACATTTTGCCAGATAAACACGTATGTATAACGATAAGATCATTAAAGTTTGCTCTCCATATTAAAAAAACAGGAAGGAAAAAAATATAAAAATATTGAATTTAAGTATTTCCAGACAGGTAGATTTTCTTGGTAATATTTAAGCCAAATTTAATAACTTGCTCCTCTTTAATGATCTTAAAGTTTTAAAGTATTTTTAAACTATTTTTTATATTATTATGATAAATGACTTGTTATATCTTTTTATTATTTTTATTATGATTAAAGTAGCAATTAATAATAAAAATTTTCTTAATTAAAATAAACAAAACTTTTTTTGGTTGTTGTTTTGTTTTGAAATTACTTATACAGTAAAACGAGAAAACATTATAAATTAATTAAAACTATTTTTATTTAAAAAATTATTGTATATAAAAAATTAATAAATATTTATTTTAGTTCCAGCTAAACATATGGAATTAACATATAGCAGAACTGTAAAAAGTATTAATGTAAGTTGTCAAGCTTCAGGGATGTTTCCGAAGCCCAAGTTGCTTTTGTATAAGATGCCTCCATATTTAAGTAGTCCTGCTGTGGTTCAAGACGTCAGGACGGCAGTCAGCATGGACAATGTCACATATGATGTGCAACTTCATCGAAGTTTCGGTTATACAGAATTATCGATAGACGATGCAACTACATTCGAATGTGTGGTCGAGATACCAGGAACGAATTACAACAAAAGAAAATCTATTGTATATTACACCAGTAAGTAATTAAGATATAATGATACTTATAAGTTTATTTGAGCGTAACTTATTCGTAAATTTGATTAAAAAACTGATGAATTTAATATATATATATCATACTATAAAATGTAATTAGTTTCAACTGAAATATCTTCTTTATATATTGAAGCAGTTTCTTGTGTAAGTTGATGGTTAGAACACAAAAATCAATAAGATAATCTTGATAAAAGCGAATCCTAAATTAAAATTAAAATTAAACAAGGATGGTTGTTTTCTCCTTATGATCGTGTTTTATTGCAGGGAAGATTGCTTTACAGGAGAATAAAGAAAATTAACTATTATCTATATCTCGTCTATAAAATAATTTAAGCATTTAAATTTTTATTACTGTTTCAGTATTAATTAAACATTAAAAATGTTTTTATTTAATAATATTAAATAATTTAATGGAAATTTTCAAGAATTATGCAATTATTTTCTCTGTAACGTTTACGTTCAAAATAATTAATTTTATTGTTTTCAAAATGTAAAAAAGAAAAAAAAAAACAAAGAGAAAGAAGGAGGGTTATTAAAATTAGGAGAAAGAAAATAGAAATAAATTTAAAAATCTTTTATATAAATAACTTTCATTATTGTTTTTTAAATAAAAAAAAGTATTAAAATCCTTAAGAAGTATTTCGATTTATATTATTTTCTAAAAAAATAACCAAAGAAACTGTAAATTTAAGTGTCTATCCAAGTTTAAAGCAAAATAAAATTAATAATAATTTACATATCGAAAGAATAATATTTTTTCAGAACTCAGTTAAGATTAGACAAAGTAATAAATCAAACTTCAGTCATTCTTTCATATATATATATAAAGGATATTGACATTCATATCTTTAAGAATAATGTTTTGGAAACGAACATGTCATTACAGTTATTAATTATGAAGATATTAAATAAGGAAATATAATATTTCCGTTGTAATTTTTGTGTGTCGAAAATCGCTTTCATTTATTTCTCTTCGAATGTGTCAGATTTGAAAGCTTTTTAAAATATTCCACAAATAACAGGATTTTATCGGTTTAATTTCTTTTAAAATTTCAATTAAATGTAATTAGCGTAGATTAAAATCGGCAGTAAAACGGAAAAAATAAAAGTCGTAAGAAAACAAACAAATAAACAGATATTCTTTCTTTAAATAAGAAAAAAAGAAGGAAGCAAAAGATTTTTCAAAATAAGATTATTGGGAAATTTGTTTACCGTCAGACAATCGTAATTAAGTAGTTGTAAAATCCGTGTTTGTTGGTAAGAGCCCATCAATTGAAGTTGTCTACGAGTTTAGCAAGACCCAGTCACACTGATACATTATCTAATCAAAGAAAAACAAGTACAGATGCCAAAGTAATTAAAACAAATTGGTCTTCTGTCTCATCATTATTTATGTGTTTCGTAAAGATAGCGCTAATTGTCTAAGCAAAGAGCGCATCTCTTATGTTGCCCTTTTTTTTCCTCTGTTAAACTTAAAAGAAAAGATCTAATTAGAAAGTGCATGACTATGATCTAAACGTAGATTAAAACTGGCGACTAGTCAAATCGCAAATGGTGATGAGAAAAGGAGAGAGATATATTGCTCATTTTCCAGAGTACTTTACTCTGCATCTTACACTTTTCGCTACAGTTGTTAACATTGAAAAGACTTATGCTCTTCTTTATCGTATCTCCATCCTATCTTAAGAAAAGCTCTTTTCTTTGCCTTATTGACACCTCCCTATCAAAAATGAAAAGTTTGTCTAACTGGTTTGAAAGCTTTCCGATTAAAAGAGATTAAAGTTCAACTAATTTGTTTGCCATAACGCACCTGACACATCTTATACAACAGGAAGCGATTGTTTAGAGAATCTTACGTTATTCTACTCTCAGGCAGTATTAATTCGTGGGCACTCTTTCTAGATTACACTTTCGGACTACACGGTCTTAAAGGATTTACTGATCGTAAATTTTAATCTAGCCATCCCAGATGTATTGAGAGGAGATAAATTGTTGAACTCTTCCTAATTTGTTATTTTGTAATATATTGTTGTAATTTTCTTTATTTATCTCCTCTAACCAAAGTCACTAACTTTTTTAAAATTGTAAAGAATTTGGTTGATAGCATCTTAACTCTATCTATGCTCCATACAAATAGCTTTCGTGTAAATTCAATGTAAATAATTAGTTGATTCTCTAAATTAGTTGTCAGCAAATGTTAATATTTTTCTTAACAAATTCTTAAATTTTCTAAAAATTTGTTTAATTAGTTTCTATAGATTAAACAAATTAGAAAAATAAAAATAAAAAATATTAATAATTCCAAATGAATCAGCTGCAACATCTGATTAGTAAACACAATAATTAGTTTCATTTTAAAATAATTTTTTAAAAAACTTAATTTTAATAAATTTAAAATAAAATTTCTTCTTTCCTAACAAGAAATTTTTAAAAAAATATATACATATAAATTAAATAAAACATATTCATATAAACAGTATATTGAAATCTCCACAAGAGATTCTAATTAAGAACATGTAATAAATTTTAAAAAACTCTAGAATTCCCCCATAAAATCTAATTATTTACTTTTGAATTTCGAAAATGTACTCTCTTTTTTTTTCTAGTATAGAAAGTTTTCTTAATTCCTTTAATTAGAATATCTTTGATCCTTAAAAACGGAGAAATGAATAAATTACAGACATCAATTGATGAAAGTTTTGACATAATTTGATTTTTGTAAATTAGATTTTTTCATCAAAACATTTTAATTTATCAATTTAATTATATAAAATGATGATTTTTATTACATTTTAAGCTAACCTCTGAGAGATAACATCAATAAGTTTTTATAATCTTTATACTTTTATCTTTATCATTCATTATTCATTAATTCATAAAATAATTTAAAGAAACAAAAGATATAATTTGTCTTTCTAATTCTTTTGAATATCATTACTTTATTGCGATTAAACATATTTAATTATCAATGTAAAATTTCATCGTTTTAAATTAATTAAAATCATATAAAATAGAGAAATTTTATATAATAATATAAATAGTCTCAGTTAAAATTACAGAGACTTTGTATTGCCATTTAAATTTAGATCATTTATGATTAATTATTCCCTTAATTGTTTATATAATTAATTATATTTAAGTAAGGAAAAATTAAATTAATATCCATTATATCTATGTAATATTTAACAAGACAATAACTTGAAATTTATGTATTAGTAGTAGATACGTAAGCTAAAGTCTGAATATATTTTTGCTAGTTTCAAGGTAAGAATATGAACAAACATATAATCAGATACACAGAAGGTAGAATAAATAAGTAGAGCATTAACTGAATTCATTTAAAGTCTCTTTTGTTTATTCCTTTGCTTATTAAGTCCAATTTTATTCTAACCTTTGCTGTTATCTCGTTAATTATCTAAAATTCAAAATTCGCCTCGCTGCCTTTTGCTAGATCTAATGAATGCATTTACATAGAATATTCTTCATGAAAATACATTTATACTTCTTAACTTTTTATTAAAAATAATTCTTTATTTTAAATTTTCTCATCACTTAAAAAAGTTTTTATATAATAAATTATTTAAATTTATTTTTAAACGTTAAACATTTCGACTTAAAACTGGTTCATACCTATTGGCTTTTAATTTAAAAAAAAATATATATATATATTCTTCATTTTAATTGATTAATTACTTAAAATTAATTATTCATTTTTAAACATTAAAAAAATCAATATTTTTATATAAAAAACACGACATTAAATATATATTTTTTCTACTTGTAAACATTAATAATATTAAAAAATAATGCTAAATGATTTATAAGCAAATTTTTTTATATATATAAATATAATAAAACTTTCTGTTGTATTATTCCAAATTTGAATTTTATTTTTCTGCATTCTATCAATATATATTTTTTCTTTTTTTAGCAATATATTAAATTCTTTCGAGCAAGAAAGTTCCATTATGCATTAAAGAACTTTCATATATATTTTTAAATTTTCATATATTTTTTTTATGTTTTATAATAATAAATCATAAATAAAACAATTTTTTACATTAAAAAAAATAATCATCTAAATTTCGAGTTGATAACATTTACAGAAAAATAATTAAAGGAAAATAATTAGAGACAAATTCCTCTCATAAAGATAAACGTGTAAATAAATAAATATCTTTATTATTATTATTTTTTTAATGAAAATTTTTATATCTGTGTAGCTTCTAGTAATTGGTATCGTCTTCGGAGTTAGTTTTAATAATCTAAACAAGATAAAATTAAGAGAAAGAGGGGAAGAGGAAGAGAAAGATGAAGAGAGAGAGAGAAAGAGAGAGAGAAGTATAACAAGTTAAACAATTTTAAATATGTTCCAGACTATAAAAGCTTGAAAAAAAAATGTCTTTAATGTTCCTCTCAGTAATTATTATTAACTTAAATCTATTCAGTAATTTATTCGCCTGAAGCCATATATCATTAAGAAAGTTGATAAATTTTTCTCATAAATTCCTTTAGAGAATATTTTAATTTTATGGATATAAAGAAAGGAGGAGGACGGAAAAAAACGTGCTTAGATTTTTTAATATTTAATCAAAATTAATATACACTTTAAGATAAGTATATATATATATAACGCAAGTATTTTTAAAATAATTTTTAAACATTGATACTAATTGAAAAACTCGAAAAAATAATAATAATTAAGAGTTTAAATAAAATATAATGAAGTAGGTAGGAAAATATTTTAAAAAACTTTATTTCTAAAAACAAACAAACAAAAAAATATATATATAAAATTTTAATTAAAAAAATGTTATCCGGAAAAATAAAAAGTGTATAAAAGACAATTTAACATGTTTTATTCAAGAAAAGAAGAAGAGGAGGAGGAAGAAGAATATGTGAACAACTGCAATAATTTATAAAAATTGAATAGAAAAAGTCGAGACGAATAAGTAATTTTATTTTTAATAGACTGATTTTATT